TTTCTGTCAAGTTAAGCACGACTCATAATGACCCTATGAACAAAAGACCTGAACTCTGTTCTATAACTATCGTCATTTCTCTAAGTTCATAGTTTCCAGAGGCATGTTGTTTAGGAAGTGGATGCCACTCCTGCTTCCAAATAGGTGTGTGTATATGTATCATCGTTGTTGTTGTTGTTGATTGCCATAGAGTCGAGCACATAGTGACTCCATGAACAAAAGGCCTGAAGCCCTTCCACAACCATCACCATTTATCAGAGTTCACAGAGTTTCCAGACACATGTTGTTTAGGAAGTAGATGCCACTCCTGCTTCCAAACTTGTCTTAAGCTGGGAGCTCCACCAAAGACGGCCCACCATGAGTAACCATTATGGCATCTGCCACCCCAGCGGCACAAGGTTCAGCATCACAGCAACCCCAGGTTACTTCAGGACAGCATACTGGCAGAAGAGTGTTGTAATACTTAGAAAAATGCTTCTCCAAAATATAATAACAACCAACTTTAAATGCAAAGACGCTCCCTGAGGTCTTGTTGACTCTAAACAAGAGACTTAAATAAAAAACAACCAATATAGGATGTTTTTGTTGTTATGTGTCCTTTAGTCATCTGTGACGTGTGGTGATCCTATGTACAGCAGCTCTGAACCCTTCCCTGTCCTAAGCCAGTCTCATTAATTCTGACACACCAACCCCCTTTGCCCCCCCCCCACAAATATAGTTTTTGTGGGTGGTTGAGTCAGGATCAACTCATAGCTGACCCCTCCAACTGGGTCTTCTGAGGTAGTTAATTGGTTAATTGAATGGGAGGAGATTGTCAATCCTTCTATGGGTCAGCTGATGGATTCAAACCACATGCTTTTGGGATTATAGTACAGCTTCTTTATACTAGGCCACCAGAGATATAGACACAGATGATATCAACAGAGAGAGAGAGAGAGAGGAAGGAAAAGAAGATATACAGATATTATGCAGTAATATTATGAAGCTATTAAGATATTATGCAGGACTAACAAGGAAAGATCTCAGGGAAAATCCTCCAAAAATGTTAGATCTTTTACTCTCCATAATGCTGTGCCATTGCCCAAATATCTGCTCATCATTATTAGCTGCCTTTTAAGCATTTCCATTAGTATGGATTTCCATTTGGATTTCCTATAGACCTTAAATAAAATTATAAAGTTTACAACTAAAATCATCATGTTTGTTTTTAGCAACCTGGAAAGAAATTCAAATGTTTTTTCTTTTTTCCCTAATACAATATTTCCTATTCCTGTATTCTTCCTTTTTTATTACTCTAAGAACACATTTTATTACTTCTTCTTCCATATAAAATCAAGCATAAAAACTTAGTCATTTGATATTCACTCCTGTATCAAACCTTTTACTCTCATCACCCTCAATTATATCCTTGATAAGGTCTCTATCATCTCCTATCAAAGGAGTGAGCATTGGTGGTGTAGTAGTTGCTAACCAAAAGACACAAGTCTATGCACAGAATAAAGATGTACAGTGTCCTCCCATAAAAAATTACAGCCTTGGAACCCAACAGAGGGTCACTCTGACTTGCACTCAGCTTGATGGTAGTGAGTCTGGCTTTGCGTCTCCTCTATGGATTACTGATATGGTCAATTAATAAGCATCCCATCTTTATTGCTTTCTCAACTGTATTTTCTCACTCTCCTTGCATCCCTGCCTACCTTGCTGCTTCTCCCTCATTCTTTTCCTCTGTACCTCAGACTTGCCTTTGAATACACTGTTTTCCAGAACAGATTCTTCCAACTTCCCTCACCCCCTCAACTATCAAATTGTACAACTCCATGATTAATCCTCCACCTGACAACCATCCCCACACCCCGGCACATTCTCAATCCTTCTGCTTCCCCCTCTCCTGATCTTTATACTCATTCTACAATAATGGTGTTTCATACAATACTTGTTCTTTCGGGACTGAGTGAGTTCACAGAGTATAATGCTCTCCAGTCCCTCCCAACTTAAGTAATTATTTACAAAATCATTGCTCCTGCATGCTGCATAGTATTCCACAGCATAAGGGAGCTCTGGTGGCATGAGCTAAAAAGCAGGCAGTTCAAATTCACCAGCTTCTCCTCAGGAAGGAGACTGGTGATCTCCTCTTGTGTGATTTACAGCCTCTGAAAATGTGATGGTGGGTCAGCTGTGAGTTGCTTCTGACTTAACATGGCCAGACTATGTGGTCTTGTGAGTAGGGAGTTGTGCTGCCTATGAACTAGGCCACAAGAGCTTCCTTAGTATCTTAAGGAATAACCAGGGAATAACATCTTTTGATTATGAATAAAATGTTAATGAAAACAAATATGGAAAATGATCAATGGGGAATCTTTGAAGTAAAATAATCACTGGAGGGGAAAAACCTTGAGTATATACTTTGAAAATTACACATGATATAGCTGTAAGGAAAATGAACAAATGGGAATACAGAAATGAGGACAATACTCGGAATATAGCAGAATAGTGTGAAAAGTTAGCAAGTAAGAAAGTAAAATTAATAACCAGGAAAAAGACAGAAATGCTACAAAAAGTTAAAGGATCAAACAATAAAAACTGCAATACTGCATACATTGCATACTATTAAAGAAAAGATGTATAAAAATATGTAAATTAAATTTGTCATAAATTGAATACATTGTACATAAGGGACTACCTGAACATGAAAACAGAATTAAGGGAACCCTTTATGAAAATTTTTCAAAGTTTTTTACTTGAAAGGAAGTAACTGAAGAACAAATTCAAACCTCAAGTTGCAATATTTAAGGATGCTTTGGGCAGAATATTAAATGATCCAAGAAGCATGAGAATAAGATCGTAAGAGTATACAGAGTTATTGTACCAAAAGGAATTGGTGTACACAGAAGAATTTCATGAAACAACATAAGAGCAAGAGATTGTGGTGATGAAGGAAGAAGTTCAAGCTGCTCTGAAAGAATTGGCAAAAAACAGGCACCAGGAATTGATGGCATGCCAA